AAATAAATAAAATATGTGGGGAAATGTCCTGACTGTTGACCAGAATCAGGCACAGAAAAATTACTGGGGGTGGAGACAAGAAGACCACGCCCCTGCGTCTCAGTGTTCCACCTAACTATGTGACCTCCACCAAGGAGCCTGAGGGTTTTCAAAATTCCTCTCCTGAAATGCAATGTCACCAGTAGCATTTGGAGGAGTCAGGACTGGATCCTGGAAGAAAAGGAGGTACTAAAAAGTGAGGAAGAAATGAGGCAAAGACCAGTGACGTCTTAACAGACAATGGGAAGTACTACAAGACGCCAGACAGATGGTTAAGCCTCAGCCTTCTCTATGAGCAGGACGACCTCAGGCAGGATGTCCCCAAATAGGCCCTTTACGCCCCTCGCCTGTCCTCCCTGTTCCCTGTTTGGGAGAAGGAGCCAGCATTTTCCCCCCTAGCCCTACTGTGCCCTGACCTGACTCGCTCTCTACATGCAGGCTTTGCATCCGAGGCAAAGGGCAACAAGAGCCAACAACACCAAGTACATCTTCCTCCTGTACCAGATCACAAGCCTGCCACTTACCTCTGCCCTCAAGCCTCCCATATCCAGCTCCTGCCAAGTGTCCTTTCATGATGTTAGTGCACTATAGAATATTCACTAGCATGTGAGTTATTCATCAGCTAATATGGTCATTTCTATAGTCAGCTTCTGAAACTAGTCAGCCTTTTGGTGCTGGGCCTTTTAAGGGTGGTCTCCTCCTTCCAGAGCCTTCCACTTGGCACCGACTCACCACTACAGTTTCCTGGGCAGAGCAGGAAGAAGAATGCTAAAGTGGGAAAGCATAATGCAAACATGTAGCCTGGAGCCCAACCCTAGTTTTGAGGAAGGAAGAGGCCCTCACACGCAAGGCAAATCACAATGCCCTCACACTGACCTCCAGATGTTCTCCCACTCTGCTTCTTTCCACATCTGAGACAATAAAATATGAACTTAATATCTTACACAACTCAGCTGTCTACAGAGGCCTGCATCAGCACAAGCGAGTGCAGCTGGACAGCTGGCTGGAGAGCACATCCTGCCTCCAGGACAGCCTCCACTGCTCCAGCCAAGAGTGGTCTGGCAGGAATGTGGGCGCAGGACTGCTGGACTCTGATGTTCCAAACACTGCTAGAAATCCAGATTTTTCTATGGATCTCCTGATTTTCAACTCACAAACAAAACATCATCAACACACTACTGGGTAAATAAATAAAATACGTGTGCAGGCAGAATCAGGCCTGAACGTTACCACCTTAGACCGTTTCCTTAGAACTATTTCCTTCAAGAAACTGATGAGATGTGGAAAAGCAGTATTATTTCCCCAAGTGTTCCTTTCATGGCTCATTCCTTGCATTTCCGCAGAAACAAACCATCCCAGAGAGATTTAGTGAGCTTCCCAAGAGGGAGGCACAGGACTGACTATACTACAAGGATCAAGTGAGAAACTTACAGAACTTCAGGCCTGGAAAAGAAATTCAATTCAGCTGTTCAAGGGAGAATCCATCTGCTTTTGATGCATGGACAACTCAGCTGTTAGGTAAAGGGTGAAAGCTCCCAAAATTAATCACCCAAGTGACAGCCCAGAGTTTCCATAAGCGAATAGGCAAATAGGCAGACTGGGACACTGGGGTCCAGCTCAAGAATGTTGTCAGGAAATGCCTGTGGTGAAGGAATCATACTTTGTACAAATAAGGGCAAAGGAGCCAGGCACATTCTCCCTGAGTTTTCAATTAACATTCTGACTTTAGAATATTTTCGTTGCTTTTAAAGCAAGAATCCCTTACAGTCAGCTCAATTAACTGCATGAAGAAAAGCAAACAGGCACTCTCATAGTAATTTTTTTCACTGCTGAGACAAAATTCCCAACATCCATAATTAAGGGAGCAGAGGTCTGTAGAGGCTGGCTCCAAAGCAGGGTAGAGTCACAGAGAACAGAACAGTCATGGCGAGCAGAAGGTAGCAAAACGAGGACTGACTGACCATGGCTATTTCTGTCCCTTTTATCTTATCCAGGCTTCTGAGGGTGGGTAGCACTCCCACCCTTAATCCTGGTGCCCTTGAGCCTGTCACTATTCCATGAATCAATTCCAGCATCACACGATCTAGATCTGTCCACTTCTGAACAATCCCCACCTATGACTGCATGAGGCTTTGGGGGGACATCTACATACAAGCCATTAACAGACATCATGCAACTTCCTGCTTATGGGGACATATGTTCTGCTATCACTGGCCTCATTAGCTATTTAGAAAGGCTGCTGCAGTCCGGGCAGCCTGGGAATAATGACCCATGCAGCAACCAGAAAGCTAGGCAGACAGACAGAGACCAGTAGACCCTGGAATGGGCTCCAGGATGTCTTACAGCATGTCACAGTGATGAAGAGCTTAAGTCTATGCTGGAAACTCCACTCGGCCACCTAACAGATGGCATCAGCTCTCCTCTCACTTGAGCTCTCTTGTCTAGAAGTTTATTCTGCTCAAAGAGCTGACATAAGAATAGGATGACAGGGGCTGGGGAGATGGCTCAGTGAAAAAAAAAAAAAAAAAGAATAGGATGACAGCACAGCTCTGAGGAGTACCTGCATAGTACGTGCAAAAATAAATAAATAAATAAATAAATAAGCAAGCAAGCACAGGGCACGATGCTGGTTGATGTGTAGCACTCAAAATGCCCTCTAGGTCTTTGACAATGAGCCTACCAAGTCATTACGGCTGGAGAACAGAGCTAATGGCACCTAGTTCTGGAATCCAGCCGAGATTCATGTGGCTTTCACATACCAAGGGAGAAGGTTGCTCTGGCAGCCAGGAGCACTGGGCTTCTAGGCTTACCATGTATTCCTGAAATACATCATGTATTCCTTGTCTCTGGAGATATGTGGCCTCTCCCTGACCAGCCTTTCCTTGCCATACCATTTATACTCTGTGGTTTTATGGTTGCCTAATTACTACAAATTCAGATTCTAGGACCCTGCCTCATTCTTGAGTCCAAATCTCTGGGGCAGAATCTCCAACCTTGGCTCTACTGACATTTTAAACTGGATACTTCTGTTATATGGGGTAGGCCCATACACTGTATTTAGCTACATTTTTGACTGTTACCCACTCAACGCCAGCAGCAACTCCACTTCCAAATCATAACAAGCCAAAGTATCTCTGGATGCTGCCAAATGTCCCAAGTCAAAAAAGAAAAAAAAAATTATGGTCTGAGATCATTTGTGTACACCATGATATGGCAAAGGGTGAGAAAGGGTACCACAGAAAATAATCATACGTGCACAGTGAGATCAAAAACCTGCACGTGAGCTGGACAGCACAGCTCTGAGGGGTACTTGCATAGCATGTGCAAGACCTTACGCTCCACCCTCTGCACCACCATAAACAAAACGCAAAAAGGTAAATAAGACCTGAAATCAAACAGTGCAAAATGTTGAGGTATCAAAAGGCCAACACTAGAAAATATCAAGACAACATCAAACCACAAAGAAATAGTATAGAGTATGTACTTCTGCAAAGTAGTAAGAACAAGGGACAGTGTGTAAATAGGACCCTGTCTAGGACATAAAAGACAAAATCTAAACACCACAACCAATAACCATAAAAAATGCTTAATGCACTAACGATTAGGAAATATAAAATAAAACAACAAAGTGTGATGTCTTAGTCACCATTTTGGCAACAGTTGCAAGGCTTGATAGTGCCCAGTGCTGACAAAAATCCAGACCACTGGGAGGAGTGAAAACTGACACAACCCCGAGAGAGGGATCTGCCAATATCTAATGAAGTCGAGGGCACTACCCTGCAGCTCACTTCCAGGACTAAAATCTAGGACACAGCTCCCAGGGGTGGGTAAGATCTCTGCTCCAGCCCCTGGGATGGAGAGCTGAGACCTGGGGAGTCTGGAGCCTCATTTACCAAATTAAAATTAGGGGTGCCGGGAAGATGGCTCAGTAGAATAAGCACTTGCCTGGCAAGCGCAAGGGTCTGAGTTCAATCCCCAGTTCTGCCAAAAAAAAAAAGAAAAAAAAAAAAATTAGGATCATCTGTGTGTGCCACGACATGGCAAAGGGTGAGAAAGGACACTATAGAAAGCAATCACATGTGCACAGGGAGAGTGTGAAGATTCCAGTGGGGACTGGAAACACGGTACATAACTAGCGACAGGACACGGCTTCATCAACTGCAGGCAGTGTCTAAAACAGAACCATCTAGCATAGGGAAGTTTCTGAACTAGAGCTATTTATTCACAGTTCAAAGTCACAAGCAGAATGCTACATTGGCTAAAGTAAAGCAGGATCACAAACAATACTGCACTACTTATAAAATGTTTAACACCACACCATAAGAGGACATTACTTAGGGACATAAAGCAGCTGTGGCAAAATAACTAGGAAAATCCACACTTGTGGTTCCCGATCCTGACTGCACACTAGAATCCCTGACAGCTCTTCTAAATTTAAATGCACAGGGCTAGCGATATAGCTCAGTGGATTAAGTGCCTGCTTTAGCAAGCGCAGGGTCCAGGGTTCGATCCCCAATCCCCCATGCCATGCCAGCCCCACCCCTGGGGTGCACTGAGCAGGTGATCCAGTCTGGGTGTGGTGGCACACATCTATAATCCCAGTGCTGGGGAGGCTGAAAACAGGAGGATCACTACAAGTCTGAGCGGCGCAGTGAGACCCTATACCAAACACATACATGGAAAAAAAAAAGTTCAAATGCACCAGCCACACAATGCTCTATCACACCCAGCTCTGGGCCAGGACAAGAAACCAGTATTGAAGTCCTTGGGTGACAAACTTGAGATTCACCTAATGACCCCACAGTCAAAAACTGGTCACCCAAGGAAGAGAGAAAGGCAAACAGACAAGTTAGAAAGAGGCCTGGTCCATACAGGCCAGGCTTTATGCTTGGTCTAATTGTTTTAGGGGAGTATGCTGATAATAAAATAAAGCGCTTGGGCCAGGAATATAGCTCAGTGGTACAGCACCTGCCTGACAAGCACAAGGTCCTGAGTTCAATTCCCAACACCAAAAATGTAAATAAATAAAACAAAAGACTCTTCAATCTAGTTATACACTTCCTCATTCCAAAAGGATCTGCCAGAGATGGGAAACCATGTAAGGGTAGCAAGGACTATGACCCAACAGGTGAGCACAGGCCAGAGCTAAAGGGCCCTAGAGAAGGAACTACACATCCGTGGGACCAATAGTGACATTGACAAGGACTTGCATAGAGCTTCTCGCACTGTAATAACTGAGTTTTTCTGAGAAGACAGGGAAAGGCCTGCTCCCTGCCAGCGTCCTCTCAGAGAAGCCACCCTTGTAGGGCATAACACGGAATTGTTTCACTCCTAAGGGCCAAAGCAGGGAAGTCCTCCCCACCCTCCCTGCTTCAGCTGCTCAAGAGGCTTTCTCCTAGCCACACCCCTGCCCCAGGCACAACAAAGGCTCCTCCGCGGGATCAGGCACTGTGTCTCACTCTTTATAAAGCTTCATTTATGCCCATAACTGCTAAATATTATCCTTCACAACTGACAAACAACAGACAGGCTCAGAGAAAGTCACTTGCCTAATGCCACAAACCCAGTAAATGGTAAACGTGTCCAAATTAGCACCAAGCCTGACACCTGCAATCAGATCCACAAATATGACCTGTGACTGTTACCATGTGGCAGAGCTGGGACTTAAATCCATGTCCCAACTCCCATGGCACACTCCTAGTAGTGTAGGGATTAGGTGGATGTAGTGTGGCACTCAGGCAGACAGGCAGGGAACAAAAGGGAGGCTCCTCACCCCCCTGGCCCCAGTGCCCTTCTGAAACAACTGCTTTTTTAGAGACCCTTTAGCAAGTCCTAGTAACATATCACCCACACTGCTCTGTGCCATCAATGCCTCTGTTCTAGCAAGCTGCCCTGTTGAACTTACTTGCCTGGGTGAACTACACATGACATTTCTGCCTGCAGCTGAAGACCTCCAGCATCCAGGCCAGAGGGAAGCTGTGAAACACAGGAAGTCTATCCAGACATGCACCCAGGGGTGTACTTGAGGCAACATGTGGGCCATGGTCAGGCTCTGCAGTGCGCTCTGAGAGCAAGGGGATGGCCTTGCTAGGCAGACAATGGCCGGGCGACCAGATACAGAGCCTGCCTGCCCAGCCATGGGAGCCCAGAAAGGGCTTCAGGACAAATCGAGCAGTCAACCCCTAAAACTGTCCTGTAGGCTACCAGGTGAGGCAGTCTAGAAGAGACTTCCACTCAGCTTTCAAAGTGACTTGGCTAGGAGGCCAGCCAGATAGCTCAGCGGACTAAAGCGTCTGCATAGGCAGAGCGCAGCAGCTGGGGTTCCATCCCTCATGTGCCATGCCGGCCCCGCTCCCTTGGGCACACCGAGACGGCGACTGAGACTAGGCATGATGGCACACGTCTGTAATCCCAGTGCTTGGGAGGCTGAAAACAGGAGAATCACTACAAGTCTCATCTATGTAGCGAGACCCTGTAGACCCTGTACTAAATACAGAAAGAGAGAAAGAGAGAGAGACTTGGCTGCTCTTCCAGTGTATCCCCCAAAACAAAAAAATCTGGGTGGGGCTGAAGAAAAACCACAAGGATCCCGGATTCTCAGTTAACAAGTTTCCTTCTACCACTGAGTGCTACCGTCTGGATTTCCACAATCTCACATAGGGTGTGGCGCAGCAAAGGGGAGCCACCCACTCATAAAACGTTAAGTGTTCTCTAGGTAAGACACTGGGCAGTTCTGGGGCTTCAGCCTCACTTGACCAGAAACCCAAGTTCACAGGAAGCCCAGGGAGGCAGAGCCTGACCCTGTCTGGCCTTCTTAAGCAAAGGGAAACACCCTCCCCTGCCAGCAGCCCATGCCGAACCACAGAGTGAAACACAATACACCAGACTTTAGGGCCCCAGTCGCATGGGTGTGTGTCAAAACTCCCCCGCTCTCCCCAGCCCATTGCCCTGGGATGTGAGGGCACAGGCAGAGGGCCAGACTGAAACGTAAGGTAAGGTCAAGCCATGCTGTAATGTAGCCTGGCCCCAAGCAATTCCAGGCAAAGGGATGAAGGAAGGAGATAGTTTTAAATCTCATATGACCTGACTTAAACCCAACCAAGTACATGCACGCCAGTGCAGGTGCCGATTGTTCCTGGTGGGCAGGAAGTAGCGATGCTTTGTCTTATACCAACATAATTTTGAACACACATGTATTGAATACTTCCTATGCACTGAAGCCCCACTGTGCTCAATTTAGCACATAAGGAAAATGAGATGTCAAAAGATGAAGGCACTTGGTCAGGATCTCTGAGTGCTAAGGGAAGCTGGGACACCGGTCTAGGTCTGCCAGTCTGTTATGACCCCATCCTAGGAGAATGAGGTCCAGGGAAAACACTGTCTCCATCAGGCTCAAGTATCAGTCTAAAGTCATAACATTGAAGGGAAGCAGCTAGGACAGTTGGCTAGAACCCATTTTACAGAGATTGAAGCTGAAGCCAGAAGGTGGGGGCTCAAAAGCATAGAGCAAATCAAAAATTACATCAAGACTCAGAGCTCTTGTTTAAGTGACTCCTATTTGTCACATCTTCACTCCAATGTCACCGCCTCAGGAAGGCCCTCCTTGACCACACCCAGGCCAGATCCAGCCTCCACCACTCTCAAGGCTCCCTGCACACTTGAGAATGCTGAGCTAACCCAGAATTCACAACAGGCTGTACAGCTGCTCATGTAATGCTGGTCTTCCAGAGCAGACAGAAGCCCACACCCCACGCATGCCCCAGCACCTAGCACAGCGGCAAGTGCACAAGTGGAAGCAGACAGTTGGCACAAAGGCTCACCTTCGCTGTCAGTGAGCACTTCCATGCGCCCACTGAACATGGCTTTCAGCATGGTGTCCTGCTTGGTCAGTGTCTGCATGGTGGTGTAGTAGAGGGCTCCTCCAACATTCAGCTTCACGTACTTGGAGCTGGGACTTGCACCCTTGAAGGAAGTGGTACGGGTAGCAGCCGCTGGCACCGCTGAGCTCACCACACTTTCTCCTGACATCTCTTCCTGCCAATGAAGAGGACACAGGGTCACCACGCTCTGCTTGGCTTACCGCCTTAGCCTATGGGCTGCGCGTTCTACTTGATCCACGCAGCTACTACATCTCTAGCCTGGCCTGGTGGCGTTCACCTGTAATCACAGCACTGCAGGTGGCTAAGGCAAGATGACTGCAAATTCAAGGCCAGCCTGGGCAAATTGTGAGAACGTGTCTTTCAGACTTTTTAAAAAGGGAGCAGGGCAGGGATGTAATTCAGTGTGAAGGCCCTGGGTTCACCTGTGAAGTATCACAGAAAAGTCTGGATTTCTGGATTCTCTTAAAATCAGAGATCAACTGCACCTTAGAAAGTAGCATACTTCCCCAGTTTACTCCAAACCACACCCAGATAGTCTCATACTCTGATTTCACTTGCTAAACCTATACTTAGAAGTTCACCACTTTAAAAAGCAATAATAAAAAAGAAACCAGATCTCTACACATAGTCCAGGTTGACCTTGAACTCCCCATGTAGCAGAGGATGGCCTCAAACTTGTGGCAATCCTCCCGCCTCAGCCTTCAGAGTGCTGGAATTACAGGTACGGTCACCACACCTGGCTTTTGCATTACAAGGACTTCCTTTTTGCCTAGTACCTAGTTAAACAGCTAGCATGGCTGTATCCTAAAGCAGCCAAAGCACTATCCATGTCTTTCTACCTCTCCTATAACAGATACCACTAAGTAGATAAAAGTTGTAGCTGAAAAACGATGGGCACATGAGTTGCTGAGGCAAGCAAGCCTGGGAAAGGAGACTAGTACCTGGTATATATGTACTCCAAGAAATTATATGTATGTGTGTAAATGTGTGTGTGTGTGTGTGTCTATAAAGCTAGGAATTAAAACCAGGGCCTCCATACTAAGCTACACCTCGTCTTTTGTTACATTTTAAGACAAGATCTTGCTAAGTCCCTAAGCTCTCCTGGCTGGGCTGAAACCTGTGATCCTCCTGCCTCAGCCTCCCAGAGTGCTGGAATTGAGGGGTGCATCACCATGTCTGACAAGAAGTTCTTTTGTCAATGAATGACTCTTTAAATTCTTCAGCTGAAGATGTCCAAGAACGGACTAAATCTTTCTGGAACCTGGTGCATAACAGAGAAAAAGAAGAGTAGCCCTGACAAACAGTCAAATGAAAACATCACAAGAAATTTTCAGAAGCTCAGGCTGAGCTCACCAGGTTCTCTGTGGCCTGACGCCAATCATAAAAAAAAAAGAGAGAGAGAGGTACAGAGGAAGTGGTAACGCCCTCCTTTCCACTTTTCCTTTGAAATTAATCTCTAGAGATTAACAGAGACAGTTACAGCCCACTGTATCCTGCAAAAAAAACTTTGTTCACAGAATGACAGAGGCAGCTTATAGGGATAACGAATTTCCTAAAACTTTGAAGACCTGAAGAGGAAAAAGTAAGAAATGGAGGGAGAGGGTTTAAAGAAATTTGCCCCCAAATGAAAATGCTTTTCTTGTGAGATGGCTCAGTGGTCTAAAGCACCTACTTAGAACAAGCTTAGCAAAGCACAGGGACCACGGTTCAATCCCCCAGCACCACATGCCAGCCAGC